TGGCGAATCTGTAGATTTGAGAGCAAGAATGCATAATCATAAACATTCTGTTCTACATTTACCTCATGATGCTCAAAACGTTCACAGACATATAGCTGGCTGTTCTGCTGGTGAATTCAGTGTCTTCTCCGTTTTTAAGATGAACACACAAGATCTGTTCATCAGAAAGTTGAAAGAAAAGAAATTTAGAAGAAAATATCATCCATCACTAAATCCAGACGATGAAGATTAATTGACATTTCCATGACTACTATTTCAAAAATCAAAACTCAACCAAAATGAAAAATATTTCTTTTTTTCGAAAAAGTTTTTCTAAAAGTGTTAAATTATTTTATCGACTGAAGTAAGTACCAAAGTGTGTCTGGAAACGTGTATCGTACTTTCTATAATTTGGTTATATATTTGAATAAATGTTTTTTCTTCTTCTGTTAGATATATTTTTTTTAAATATTAGTAAACACATTTAGAAAGTCAGGCTTCGATGCTCCAGCTGATTCTTCACACTCGGACGATGCGTCACCCTTGCCAAAAGAAGATCCACCTCAAGATAATGAATCATTAGAGGAGCTCGGAAAAGTGCTGAAGCATTTGACCATTGGTCATGTGATGTCTGCTAACGATTGCGTGGAAAGTCTACGAGATCTTCAATTCTATCCGAAGCAGACACATTTCTGCTGTACTTCTCTCTATTCTGCTCTAGAACTTCGATCAAGATCTGCCAGTGTTCAATGAACGGGATGATGCTTGATGAGTGAGAAGATTCTGGCTATTGATGGAAACTCTAATGAAGACATACAGTTCGGCGAAGACATGACTTGCGAACAACTTCGCTCTTTATCGGATGCATTGTAGATTGTTCGTCGATTACACCTATTATTCACCACGTAATACCCAGAATTACATCAGTTCATGACGCAATTACAGTCTAAATTAATTGATGTGTATCTGCAATCTAGCACATCGAAACAGAAATCTATTCTAGACTTTTTCAAGGCAATTTAAATGAAATTCACGAGTGGATTCTTCATTCAGTCTGATAGAATTTGCCTTAGTATTCAGTAATCTCAGTGAGAAATCACACTTGATCTCAATAAAACCATCGGAGTCCAAGCGCAATCTGATCTATCTGGTTCTCTTGCACTTTATTGCTAACACTCCTCGTTTACGAACACCCTGTCAGACTGAACGATTTCGTTCGGTCCCGTTGGTGTTCAGATTAGAGAAGTGTTACTGACTTTTTCAAAATGTAAAATAATTAATGGAAAAAAATCTCGAGCGAAATTTCACCGGATCGGTCAATTGATTGACAAATCCAAGCTCATACCGATCGACGCGTCTTGATTCCCTCTTTCTAACAAAAAAATAATCAGGTCTCCATCACTTGCCACTCTCTAGTTATTAAAAAACGGCCTCTTTCAGATATGCTTTCAAAGAGAGAAGATATGCGGTTGAATAATGCAGAAACAGTGGATCTTTATCTTTCTGTGTCATACACGTTTCAATCGGAAGTGTTTCTAATAGCTACACATCATTGTACGATTTCTCTTTCTTTCTCTGCTTGACCTTCTCTCGCAAGATTTCGTTGCTCTAGCCTGTTTAATTTCTTTTCTTTAATAATCGAATCTATTCTCTCCACTGATAGGATAGGATCTGACAGACGGTAAATAAAGCTTTTGTCTGTCTGTAAAACATTTTAAAAACCACAGTGGAATCTGTTGTCGGTCGATTGAGAGTGAAGATTTTCATTGTGTAAGATGGAGAAGAATCTCGCTTCTCCTTTTGATTGATCGCTTTCGCGCCTTTTGTTCTCTTGCTCGTTGGAATATCGAATACTATGACTCATTCGACTTCACCACGTCTGCCTATGGAGAATACAGTTTTTGAAACCTCAATCCATCTCTTGGTTGATCGTTGATTTTTTTCGATGGGTGAAAGGTACTTCATCGACTATATGTTCTGACAGCTGCGTGGGTGCATAGCTCATACCGTCCAAAGAAGCTTTCCTGGCCGTATTAGCAGGTTCGATAGTGCGTACTGAAATAAATCGTTTGGGAGTTGAAATCCCTTGTCGATCCCACACCTAGTGGCGAGAGCGCGGACAAGCTTGCATAGCTATTTCAACTCATTGACATCACTGTGTCACAGAAGACAATCAGTATTCCAGGACTAGAGCTAAATTCTGCCGAAGTGCAAAAAGACACGAATAGGGTATACTGCAAATCTTAACAAAAGTATGGAACAAAAGGAGTATGAAACTTCAGTCTAGGGACGAGTGAATCGGATTCCGATTCCCCCTACACTGAGCTTAAATTCAACCTCTACTAGCAGATAGATATTTTTTCCTTCTGAGACCGACGAGGGATGTCAACTCTCGTACGATGTTTTTCAACACTCAGGCTCCAACTTTCCCGCACGACCAGGACAGCTTCTTCATACGATATAGGGTGTCTAAACACGCATCTAGCAAAACCTGATGGCAATGAAGCACGTTTCACCGATTGAAATAAAACGAACTATCAACTAAAAGACGGATTGAGGTTTCAAGCCCGTATTCTGGACAGACCGAGAGGCAGTGAACACGAATTATTCACAGGACTCGATGTTCGAACGAGCAGGAAAACAAAAGGCGCGAAAGCGATCAATGAAAAGAGAAACAGACATTCTGCTTGATCTAAGGTAATAAAAACATTCACTCTCAATCAACCGACAACAGATTCCACCGTAGTTTTAAAAATATGTTACAGACAGACAGGCAAAAGCATCATTTACCGTCTGACAAAACCTATCCTTTTAGTCTAGGAAATAACTCGCATCAATCGATTGAAAACATTCAAGAATATCGGACTTGTCTCATTGACTAAATATTGAATAAAGATAAATGAATCAATCACTTACTAGCATACCACCACCACTATTAGTAATAGCATCATGAAAGAAGTTTTAAAATGTGGATGCCATTAAATGAAGAGAAACTGACACAGCACTTACCGATTGACCCTATGACGTAATACACAATCTTCTTGTCCAGAACAGCTTTGGAATTGACCAAAGAAAGTTGAATATAATTTAGCAAAGGAAATCTACCCAGATGTGCAGTTGCAGTCGCATTAAAAATGATGATCGATGATGAATCTGTAATCGCATGGGAGAAATAAGTGGTTTAAAACGAAGTGTACCGATAGGTAGTTCAGCGAAAGGAATACTGATAAATTAACGAATATTTATCGGAAAAGGATCCAATTCATCTACGTAGAGAATTCTTGGTGAACATATGATTTTTAATTGAACTTGACAATCGTATCCAACAATAATACAAACAGTTGATTTCTTTCAGCCATTTCTAAGATGTCATTGATCATTTTCTACTTCAGACTATCTTTGATTTCAAAAAGATATTATTCCCGATCGACGAACGCCTGCGTCAAGCTTTCAAAGCGGAATACACATTCGAAAAGCATCTTCGGTTGAACCGTTGTCTGTATTCTAGACGAAGGTAAACAGTATGTTCGTTTGCTGAGATTATTTCGACTACCACTTGGTTTTTCTTCAATATTTGTTGAAAAAAATCCAAGGAGTAGAAATTGTCAGAGTCTTGTCATTAATATGAAACTATTTGTATTTATCTCAAGGTCCAGGTTTAAAAAAAGTCAAATTTGCTCAACAACAGGATTAATAAACTGAACTGATAATTATAGGTAGATGTTTAGCTAAAATCGAGATGTTCTACTTATGCTTTGTGGAATACTTCTCTAGATATCGTCTAGACGATAACGAAGAGAAAAGCGTTGTAATTATATCAATTGCACCAGTAGGTGGAGATGCTGGACACTGTTCTTTTTCGCTTTTCGTCAGAAAATGGCAAGAGAGATGTGTCAAGTGTTATTCGAATTAACGATGCTTAATGGGCATCAACACCGATCAAATATCTTCCAGTAGCTGTTTCATACGTTTGAGTTGTCTAATTCAAACTGGAAAATGGTGAATTTTTCATCTGATTATATTCTGAAATGTTCAGTGATGGATGGAGCCGGTACCGGTATTTGCCGGTCTTCTTGTCGCTGAAGTCGAGCACTATTTATAAATCTGTTGTAGATGGTTTTTTACGTACGAGACAAGCGAAATAAAAAGTGTTCTAAACTTTTGTGCTTTATTTTATATAGAGGGGGCGAAAGAGAACAAAAGCAATGGAAGAAAAAAGAAAAGGAAAATATTGAGAATGAAAGAAAATAGATAGAGCCATCAGACCGGTGACAAAAGACGGCGAGACCTGTACCGAAGGTAGAGCTACGGATCCATAACCTTGAAAAAAGCATCAAAGACTTCAGTGAAGCTTCAAACCGGGCGATCGAAATATAGACTGCCGTACTGGTATCCTTCTTTATACATTTCAGACCAGTTCGTCGACTCAGTAATGATCACTTCGTGTTCCGATGTATTGCCCCATAGGCTCGGTGTTATCCATGGTTTCGTGGAGTCGCTGTTGGTGATCTAAGTATTAAAGCAGGAAAGAATAATATTGAAAAAGACGGTAAATTTCATCCTGATTACCTGCATACGGCCCCCGATGATGTTTGGTGCGTCCTTCGCTTGAGCATTTGGCGCCAGAAAAAAATATGTTCTCTGATAAGAGGGTCCGTATTGTTGCGTATAGCAATAGCCATCAGAGATGAGACATTCTTCACCGTTTTGCTTTCCCCAATGTCGTAAAGTTTTGAAGGGTGCAGAGGAAGTGTCGTTTGAGACCTGCATTCTTCCTCCTACGATTCTGTCACCACCGTTATTCGGCACGCTGAGGTAAAAGACCGTCCATGAGTGGGCGCGGTGTGCATATTGGGTTGACCACGACCGTCCATTGTAGGCGTCTTGCTTGACATGTTTATCTTGTCCCCAAGAAAACGCAGGGACAAAGGGAACCGTCGAATCTATGTTGGTCTTGTATGTCTTAAATCCGGTAATGGTAGGTGGCGTGCCTAAAACGAAGAGAGAAAGATGAAGACGTGGATAGCGAGGTGAACGAAGATAAGGAAGGAAATTGCTACAACGGATAAGAAACCAAGATCGTACCAGGTAGAGTACTATACACGAGCTTTTATTCTAGTACTTACTCGGCTGAATGACAAAAATGCTTACAGATTTTTCTACAACTGATGCGAAGAAAGAAGATCATGCTTTTGATTGTCCAATCTCATTATCAAAATCAAAACAGAATTGCAGCCGTCTTCGCTAAAAAATAAATCTGATAATCGTTTACTGGTATATACATACCACCGAAATCAACTTTTTGAAACACATGAGATACAACACCGGTGACACCGCCTTCGTTGTTAGCTAAAATAAATAATGAAGGTTCTGTAGTTGTATTGATTATTCGGTTTGATACTCCCCAACTCTACCCATAATGCAGACTGAAGTAAGAAGTTTTATTGAATATCTAATGCTGTTACGCGCTTCAATAATCGAAGAAGTTATTATCTTTCTGAATGACTGAGGAATAGAAAAGACTAGCTGCCTGAGGTTTTTCTCGTTAGAAGGATCTTTTTCTGTGTGCGGTTTCATATTATATTCACTAATGTCGGCTCAAGATCCCGATGTGCAATTGTTGATCTCTGAAGAGTTGATGGACCCGAAAAACATCATGTTCAGTTTTAATCGTGAGGAGTGTGTCATGAACGCCTACTCACGATCAGAACATCTTTACCGACCACAGATAATTAATTCTCAACTTCTGCTGAGCAAAAGTTCGGTTAATGCAGGGGACTTGGGGGTAAGTGTATTGTATCCAGTCTCGCTGGCATACGATGCTAACTCTCTAATCTTCTTACTCATTTTCTACTCGGCGTTATCATCAGCCCTCTGCTGTTGAAAACACTTCAAGCAGTACTTACGTTGTACTGGAGTTGGGTTCAGCGTTTTGGGGGGTACCAGCCATATGCCACGTTGGTAGAAACTGCTTGTTGTAAAGGGTCTTTGCGTTCCGTGTGTCTCGGCCACGACTCCATGTGCTACGTCTACTAATAGCATAATAACTTCTTCGCCTGGTCTAGTAATGTGCTGTAAGATATGGCTTGTAAAACGTCCATTTCGTCTATTTAAGGACTCATCGTCAGCTACCTCGCCAGGAGCACAAGCAAAACCAATCAGTGAGTTGGGTGGTGCAGCCATCCGAGTCATTCCTTGTGATGAGCCAGCCGTTCTGTGTGATGAGCCAGGCATTCTGTGTGATGAGCCAGCTAGGGATCGACCCCTGGCCTGACTTGGTGTCCAATAATCTCGACAGCAATCGAGAAGAAACACAATGACGAACGGATTTTTATTCGATAGTAGTGCAAGAACATCCTGCGCATTTGTAGATTGATTTCTCAATTCGACTGAACCCTTGTCTAGATTATGATCACAAGGAAGCAAATAATTCTGATCTTCCCACTGTGTACCATGGCCAGCAAAGAAAAAGAAGACCAAATCCCCTCGTCTAATAGTTTCCACAAATTTCTCAATTTCTCTGCGCATCTGTTCGGACCTGAGATTTATTTTGAGTGTCACGCTAAATCCAATTTCTTTGAGTTTATCGCTTAAATCAGTTGCATCAAAAACACAATTTTCCAGTGCACCTGCATCATAGTTATTGTTTCCAATTGTCATGGCAACTTTTCGTCTTTGCACAGTCGGGATGAGTGCTGCACACATTTGTTGGGTTGCTGTTTCTTGGAAAAAGAAATATCTTGGATGTATCTGTCACAATCGAATCTAGAAAGGTTTTGAAAAGTAAACATAGTTTTCAGAGAAAATGATGTTGTTTGGAGATGATGCACATGATTTGGTAGAAGGAGATCGAATCTACAGTAGAAGAGGCTTTTCGTGACAGTGAAAAACAGGACTGCAGAGCGAGTGATCAAAAATGATCCTCTATAAACGATGAACTTCTGATGTTGCACACTCAGCTTTGTGTATTTACCTTGCACAACGAACCATGACCGTCGACGAGGAAAAAAAACAGAAACTAACAGTTTGCCTCATTGCATACATAGACATGTATACAGAAAGAGAACATCACCTTATTGGATTAGAGAAACAGTCAAGTGTTGCAAAAAGATGAATCACTCTTTCCAGCTTCAAACGAAGAAAATATTCTGATCAGAGATGCATAATATTTAAAATAGCTTTTTCTTGTCGTCATTCACTTGAGGAAGATGGAGCAAAGAAGAACCAGATCGAATCATCTGTTATAGTTGGTGGCGCTCTCCTCCCTTTTTGCTTTTATTTTCCATGCGTTCTCTTTCTTTTTGCTCTTTTATCTTTATACATATCTTTTTAAGATAGAGTAGATATCTACCTGGGTGCGTTCGTTTACATACTGCCGACCATTTACCTCGCAGTGTCGTGTAAAAGCACATTACTATAGATCTTGAGCTGAGAGTGAAGAAAAACAGTAGTTTCTCTTACTCTGAGAGTCAATTCTGATCACAAAGAATTTGGAAAGAACAAGTGCATCGATGGCGACGGACATTCTCCGTATATTATTACCATGGGGTCCTAGATATCGATATTTTTTCCATCTTTCACGAGAAAAATTCTCTGTTCATTTCCTGAATCGGTTCCCGTTCGATGTCATGAGTCGCTTTAATTCGATTAAGAGCAGGACACAACAAATGACCGGAGTTGTAATAAAACTCAGGCTCGATTCGTGGCTGCTCGGCTCGTACTTCCCAACAAACGACATTGTCGACAAAAGATTCTATACAAAAGTGTGTGCTATGTAACTGACTGTTGAAAACAGATTTGCCGACGCAACTCGTCATGTTTACTGAGATAAACCTTATCCGGGTTATCGGCTTATCCAAACATAACGCTGTTACAGTTTTTTTTCTGTCAATTTTTTGGCACTTAACAAGCCCATAACAAGTTCTTTTTTCGTATTGTTGGTGTTGTCAGCGTAACTAATCGTTCTACGCAAGAACGAGATCGATACATCGACATGGAGGCTCATAAGAATTGCAGTAAGTTGGAAACTGTATGAGAATCCATAAGTTGTCCTAGTCACTAAAGTCTAAACCAAATGCACTATTTTGTAGAGAATGAAATTTTGCATCGAGTGGTATGTCTCGTGACTCTTTTTTGAAAACCAACCATCTTTTTTAAGCCAAAGAAAAGAAAGTTATTGACCTTACATTGTTGAATGACTTCCGTAATTTGATGTTGTACCGTCGTTTGCCTACAGGTAAAAACGAAAATAGAGAACGAAAAATTGGCAGCCATTGATAGAATAACGAGGAAGTGCATGAGTGATGAAATCGCTAACTAGCCTTCATATTTTTCCCATCAGATCCAACTGCTTCTCTCATGCTTATCTACAGCAAGTGAATGCTCATGCGTAGTGCGATAAACACCTGGAGTAGATTCTGTGAGGAACTTCTATAGGTGATGATGAATATTGAAAGAACAGTAGTACACTCGAACAATCATCGAGATACCGAGGAGGAGAACTCTTTTGGTTTGATCATGAGAAGAAACAGGTAATAACACTTCTTCTGCGGAAAAACGACTCTTCAACCACGAATATTCTAAGAAATACTTACACTCGTCGTAGAAGCCATAGATACGACTGATGCAGGAGGATTCATGATTTCCTCGCAATAGGAAAATGTGATTTGGATATTTTATCTAATGAAAATAAATACATATATTTGATTGAGATTATGTGAAAGGTCGACAGACTTTGTAAGCGAGTAGAAGACAGATTGTTTCCAGTGGCCGTTTACCTCGATTAACATAGCCACCGAGAAACAGATAATTGGACTTTGGTGGAAAACCGCCAGCTTGGAAGTGGCGAAGCAAATCGGTGTATTGACCGCAAACATTACCTATCAAAGAAAATGCATAGAGGATAATCGGTTGGAGCTCCATATTTGGTTTTTCTCAAATTTCGCGACGAATACTTCTAAGAGTCGACGCAGGGTCTGAAAAAGCATGCATTGCTTTGTTTGCTAAGATTTCCCACTTTCTATGGGAGCACGTTTGAAAACCAACCCTCGGTAAAGTAGTACAGTGTTTAAATAGCTGTTTATGCAGTGGCCGATTCGAGTCAAAGAGGATATCCTGAGTCAGACGACATTGATCTATCAGATCAACACTAGTGATTTTCTAGATATCCAAAGGTGATACTAGAGCTCACTACTTCCATACAATTTGTGACGTTCGATGCTTTCGGGTGAAATAACGGATAAAGACTACTGATATTTCTGATTTGCTTTTTACTGTTTTATATTCTCACGCTCTCTGTGTCCACGTAGGGAAATGCAAGTCTGCAGACTTTTCTCCATCGTTTATTTGTCAGTTGCTAAAGAACATTACACAAATATTGAGGGGAGCTTCAAGTTCGAGGAGCATTGCTTGACGGAGGAAGATCTTTTTTGCTTTGTCGCACAACTGATTCATTTCTTGTTCGCCCATCTGAACGAAATTGTCAGGAGAATCGCATTCTCGTACTTGGAACAAGAAGAAGAATCCAACTATGAGTGCTGTTCACGAGACGATAATAGGGGATATACCTTTGAGAAGCCGCTCGATTAGATTGTCAATGTCCAGCTCCGAATCATTGCTACCAACTGACATCGTGCAAGGTTTCAACTGCGGCAGTGTATTACCAGTTGAGAGAAAGAAGAGACGTACAGACGCTTTAGAGAAATAATTCAACTCCGAGTGGACAAGTTTTGATTTTTATTGAATGCCTTCGAATGTCAGAAGCAGCGCTAATGGCAGCGACGTGGAAAAATTGCACAAAAAGTTGAAATACTCGCCGGGTGACTCATCCAAGGACATGAGCAGCATACTGCGACCTCTAGGTAGTAGGCGAACTCCGAACCATAATCTTTAAAGGCAGAGAATTGTGTATGAAACCTGTCGACTTGCAGGCAGTCGTGGTAATCAGATTCTAGCTTATACCTTTTTGGTTCCTTCATTACACCTTATCCAGTCTGCCATTTGTGACGTTGGGCCCTCTGTCGTAGGCAATTTTGAAATGTACACCATGATGAAGATTGCTATTTCTTATCGTGGAGACCATTGTGCCTGTCAGTGCATCTGAGTCATGATTCATTCGAATTCTTGGAAACTTAGTGATGCCGCGAGTGAATATTAACTTGAGGGATGAATTCTATGTCTATGCTTGATATGCACCCATGCAACAACTAAATCAGCGGTAGAGGAGAATCGCATCCCCAGTGAGTCAGATCAAATCTTTCCACCGACACCCAGAGACATTCAAAATGAATCGATCCTCTCTATCTGCAAGGTTCTCAGTCAGGAACGAGAAAGTCTAGTATGGGTGGATTCTGCAGGATTTCCTCGCTAAGATACAGAGATTTTACCACGTTTCACACAAAATCCTTGACTCTCCTCAGGATCATCGAAGAGTCAACCTTCAACTTCGGACTTAATACTTTGCATGGCTCCTTTGTTGAATTATGGATATTGCAGAATTCGAGCTGAAATAACAACATAATGATAGAATGGTCAATATTCTTATCTGAGGACAGGTGCAACGAAAGGATCTGAAACTCTCAAAATGAAATACTCCCATCGAGAACTCTGTTCATGTAGTTTTTCAGGAATTCTATGAGCGACCACGGTACCTCACAACCTCATTGTAGACCGCGCCGAGGTCAGTAGGGTATAACTCTGAAAACAGCTCCATACCTATTTCTCATCATCTAGCCGATGATTAACCTTGGTGAAGAAAGTTATTAGCTAACGAGTTTCGTAGTGAGAAGGAAATCCACGTGTAGAACGTGACATGGTAATTAGATCTATCAAAGAATCTCCTTGGCACCGTTATACGGCTTGTCTGTCCACAAATAGACCTCTATCACTATGTCGAATTTTAAAAAGTCAGCGCTGACGCCTTCCTGGTTCGAATCGTTACCATGCGTATACCATCGGTTACACTTTCATGCATGATCATCACGTTTTTCTTGTCCCAGATGCGCCGTTTGTTGTAATCGATTGTTTAAAAAAGTATTATGCGAGTAGCAATGCTTTGGCAAGGCGATCAGTAAACGGAGATGTGAATGAACCAGCATTTGGTCCTCATACAAAACGCCTTTAAGACGAATATGTGCATCAGTCAGGCAGTGAGAAGGCAGGTTTTGATTAGTATATAGCTGTTCTTGATAATCTCCACGAAAGTCATCGGAATGTGGTAGTCAATCATGACTCTCGCTCACCTACTATCATCCATCTCGGCCTAACTCAAATTACTCCCTTGGATCGATCTGATTGTTGACCTCATTTAGAGTTTCGGATTTGTCTGCATATCTTTTAGACCTTCGAAAAAATACAACCAGTATGATATGAATGTATTTAGGTGAACGAAGGGACCTGAAGTTGTTGTTTCATGAGCCACAACGAAGCTCTCAATCACCAATGAGTTTTATTGAATTAAATGCACCAGTCATCACGGAAGTATTGGATTGGCAAAGAATATTTAGTGACAATTCGTCACTAACGATTCATCATCGACGCTGTTTCCAGACGAAGACGGATCACTACCATCTCCTGCATCTGTTGTTTCCATCGCGGTTACGTTAGTTGAGTCAGTTGCTGTAGTCGCTCTTGTAGGAACGTGATACTCACATGGTTTGGTCGGATCATTGGATTCACTGCAAAAGCCTTGCAAAAATACACCGCTTAGCCGCAACCTTCGATCGCATCCTTCAAGTTCCGCGAACCTTAGATGTACTACGAACCCATCACGCTATACTCTATATCAAAACGGATGCGTAGACGATAATAATCAGTGTTTTTTCGAGTGAACAGTTGACCATTCTCAAACGTAATATTCATTAATCAATGGTTATGAGGAAGCGGACAAGGATGAATGATCTCATTTTGTAGGGTACGCTTCAGTCTATGAAAGGGTGCATCGTGACGATGGTTTCAGTCGCGTTTCTGAGGTGAATTTTCCTAAAGAAAAGAAGCTGTAAAAAATAGGCTTCTTTCGGTCGATAGTCTGCGCTTCAGGAACATAAGAAAGCATTGATCAACGTCAATAAAAATTAGTATACCGGAGTAACTTTCCATGCTCTACAAGGTGGCATACGTCATTTCGAAGACAAAGTTATTTCGTCAATGCATTTGTATTCAATTAGATGGTCTACTCGAAGGCTATCTCTTAATTTCGCATAAGAGTGTAGTTAAAGAATAGTGGAAGTAGCTCGGAAAAGTGAAAGTTTAAAGCACAATCATAGTTCTCTGTTTTCGGTAGTGGTGTAACCAGGACTTCTCAGGTGGGAGGACAATGCCACACAATCTACGAAACAACTGAGCTAAATTCTCTCCATTTTGAAATGAAGAGATAGAGTGAAGCAGATCAACGTTCGTCGAACATCTCTGTGACGATAAAAAACAATCACTGTCCGTGGTCTTCCTTTCCTCCTTCACCGAAATGCATCGATCATTATCCCAGATGAAAAAATCTTAATCTCAAATACCTACAACACTTGTGATTGGAATCATTTTAGATCATGATCTTGTTCAATTGCATAGATGCAACAGTAATGCAAACAGTATTGGCCATTGTGAACGCTGTCCTTCGAAGATGATCGGAAAGGGTCAGTCAGTTTTTATGCAAGCCTTGAAATGCAATCGTTCGATCGAATAGATTTCATGGTTTTTTTTACCGCATAGCAATGGGACTCTCATGGCTACCCATGCAGTGGAAAATGATAGTTCACTTTTTACATCTCTCTGCTAACATCCACAGATCCTCGATTTCTTCAAGACTGAGCTATAAGCAAGATGAAGGGAAAGAGAACAGAATCAAGAAGTACTGGTGATTTATTCACAGGGCACAGCAGATCATCTCTTGGTATACTTTATTTCTATCTTCGCGGACTGCTTGAAGTCAAAGGTTCACACCGTTGTGAAGGTTCTCCGATTTCAAATAAATGAATACAAAACGTCACTGATGTTCAACCAACACAGCAATAAGTGATGTAGCCGAAAACTTCTTGTGACCGTACGACATGCGACTATCAAAAAACAATACGTATAATCGTCTTGCATAGTGCTTGTTCACGTCTCAGCCACTGCTCGGAATTCTCTCTTCTCCCGAGAGTGAGTCTGTCCTCATGTATTTATGAATCTTTCAACAGCTGTTAGTAAATAATGAACGCTACGCAATGCTCGAATATCAATCCTATTACCAATAGTGTGCATGCGAATGGAAAATACATATTAACGCATATCTACAGTGTCCGATATGGCCAAGGAAGTGTTAGTTTGCAAATTCTTTTTTTCAGCCAAATCTTCTTCTCTAGTCTGTCCACAAAAGCAATGTTTTCTTGAGAGTTTGAATGTGTCGCTGGCAAGGTTTTCAGTATTTGATCAACAGATTTTTTCGCACATTCAAGTGCGTTCTCGAGTTCACCCAAGCCTTCATATGCTGTACCTTGATTGTAATAGGTAGCAGCAATCGTCGGGTTGTCCTCGGGTAGCGTGACCAATTGGATTTTTACTGTCTTTTGGGAGCAATCAAGGGCTTGCTGAAATTCCTGTAATTTCCAGTGTAAACCACCTATTTGATGGTATTTTGGAGCAAGATTTTTATGGTGCGTACCCATCATTTTTTGGTGAACGGTCAATGCTTTTTTAAGATATGGTAGAGCCTCTCGATACTTTTTTTGCTCCATGTAAACTGAAGCGATGTTATCCAAATGGGCTGCAACTGAGTCCGGATCTGGATTCGGGCTTTTCACTTGTAAATCCAAGGCCTTCTTATGATTTTCCACGGCTTGATCGTATTTTCGCTGTTTCAAGTAGATACTTCCCATGTTGTTATAGGTTGGCGACAAAGTTATATGATCAGCCGGTTTCAATAGTAACTGAATGGCAAGATACTTCTTCAAAACTCTCAGAGCATCGTCGAACTTCAAAGCTTTGTACAATGTCGTCCCTAAGGCATGATATTTTTCGACAGCTTCGTCAGCGCCAAATCATTATTGGCACTTTTATAATTATATCAGCGAATTGATCGGCTCGAAAATATTCTTCAGTTTCGTCCATTAGATCCGTAAGACGTACCAATGGTGGTCCGTCAATAACCTGGCGATCGAGAAAATGTATGGCTGCACATAAATGTTTATCATCTTCCACAACAATACTCAAATCGACAGTGTGCACATTTTTAGCATAACTTTTCACCGAGTTTACGCGGAAGACAACATTCATGGAGAACAGTATTGCGTTGCTCCCTGATGGTGAATGGCACAGCTGATCGATATTCGCGAAGGCATTGAATTTCGTTTTGGAATGGACTGCTATTCTAAAAAGGACTGGTACTGTAGAAGTATTATTGTTCGATTTTGTCAAACGACCCATAGTGCTCGGATCAGTTGTGGTGAGAAGGAAATTGGAGAAGCATAGAAGACTTTCATGGCTCGCTGCTAACTTTTCGAGCTCTTTGGGCGACATTAGATGCCGTCGGTAGAAGAATGTGCCATTGACGGATAAAGGATTTGGCTCTGACAGCAACTGTTGATGGATTTGTTGAACAAAGAAGCGCAATTGATATTGAATATCTGGCTCTGGTGAGCGTAGTCCTCGATTAGTCATTCTCGAGAGGAAACATGTTTTTCGAGTAAGCCACCAAACAGCCTTCGCTGAATCAAAGCTTCGATCGAATTCGTCAATCAATTTTAATTGTACCGCGTTGCCAGTGTATTGCTCTTTACAATAATTGACCATATCCGATTTTGCATGCTTTGTATTTTCCGAATCGAGAATGAACTGATGCAACAGTTGTGCATAGGAAAATTCAATATTTGGCGGTGATTCCGGAGGTGGGCTAATAGTCCAAGTGAGCAGCTGACTCTCCAGCTGTTCAACTTGGCTCTGCAGTTGAGTCATGATTTCGGCAAGATCTGTCGATAGAAGTTGAATCTTTGGCTGATTTTCCACCCATGAGTAATGTTTTTTATCCGTTTCGCAAAGAATATATACCAATTTTAATTGCGGCAGATCTTGAATGCGTTTTATAAACGAATCGCCAAAAGAGTCTGATAAAATTAAACACACTTGCTCAGTAACCAGATTCTCGATGTAAAGATAACATTCGTTGGCATTGTCGAACATTTCCACGAAGTTGATTGTACGACGGATCAGTGCTCGATTACTCTCGCTTTTCGCAGAATGCTGATCAAGGACTAGGAGCGCAAAATTCTCGACATTGCCAATAGCCCGAGCACCATCAGATGCTTTTCGTGATCCCTCTTCTTCAGCAGCGCTTACTTTTCCTGCGAAAAAAGAACATTGCAAGAGAATCAAATTCGAAATGAACAGAGAGTGAGGGTAATAGTAGTTGAGCTACTCCGAGATGGAAATTACATACTCACACCCGCCGACCTTCTGAATTTGCAGGTGAAACAATTTCCTTCTTCTAGTATTCATAACTAGCTGTCTTCTGAGGGACAGTCTAATTTCTTTTGAAAGAACTTACTTATCGTACTGATTGTTTCGGCATTGCTGGTAATTCCAATTGATGTGGTTTTTCCGTTGCTCTCCATTGATTTTTGTTGCCATTGCATACTGATGTTAAAGTCACCTTTCTGCGACGTGATATCTGCGAGCTGTGCGTATAGGCTGCTCAGCGAAGGATCGTTCGGCGGAAGTTCTTCCAGCAGCCGCATGTAGTATTGTTCAGCCAGATTCAAATTGCCCATCCTCCATACTATCTTGCCTAATGTTCGAAGATTCGTATGTCCACTGCCATTTTGCTTTTTCATGTGCATAAGGACTTTCTTCAAATCGTGTTCGCCATCACCGTACAAAGCCATGCGAATAATCCATACGTGATTGCCACTACGAATGACGCTATTGAGTCGAAAGATAGAACCAGACACGAAGAGCACTTCTGATTCGTTGGTGTAATCTCTAAGTGCATCCACCTCAGCGAATGGATTTGTAGTGACCTTAATCGGATCTGCGTCGATTTTGAACAGCATTCGCTTCAGATCTTTCGAGCCATCGCATTTGGCAAAGAAGGAGAGGGCGATCGCTTTATTCGTGGTGGAGAAGAATGATTTCACAGAAATGAGCGTGCCAGACGATTGTTTAAGAGTGTTCAGCTCATCACTGGACATCACCTGAGTCCGATACACTTGTAAAGGATCTTGAGCTTGGTAATGCTTTAACTGTCGAGAGATGTCGTAGATGAAAGAACGATACAGAAACATCATGTGAATGTTTTGCGTGCGGAGAGCGGCATTCAGAGTTTTATAGAAGAACGATTCCCGAATGTACCACCACACCGCATTTTCAGGTGAATAGTGTTTCTGAAACTCATGAACGCTGGCGAGCTCAGTCTGGTTACCTTTGTATTCCTTCTTGAAACAGGAGATAAGTTCTGCTTTATCCTTTTCACTCGATTGTATTCTCAGAAGACAATCGATGAGTACTTGAGTGAACAAATTCACCGTCGACTCCTCCAACTGATTTGCTTCCGCTGAAGATATTGATCGATAATGGTTCATCGACCTTCACCTGAATCTTATGGTCTGCTTGGATTCGAGAGACAAGTTCATCGATATCGGTTATCACGACCTTAAACTGTGGAAGACACATTAAAAAAACAGGAACTTCTGTCAGCACAGTTTACTTTAGAGAATTTGCCGGCCCACCTTTCATTTCCATCCTTGTCAAAGCAGTAGACATAAATAGATGAGACTTGCCGAAGGTCGTGAATAGAAGGTACAATTTCGCTACCCAACCGACCACTAATAACGAGTACTCGTCGATCCTGTTCCGATTTTGTTCAACATATTTTTGGCACTCGCTTGCATCTTGAAATCTCTCGAGATAATTAATGATACTACGAAGTTTTTGTTGCGTGTTTCGGTTCTCCACGGCGTCACCAGTGGCATCAAGCCAGATGAGACTGAATAGTTCAAGTTGATTGTTGCCACCGGTTTTATAGGAGTTATGGGTCGGTAGATCAGGAGGCGAGGCCATTGGGATCGTAGAGGCAAAACAGTAGTTCTCCTAAAACATGTAGGAACCGAACCGGGCATATAACGATGGGAAGCTCAGCGCAGTTTTACTCCACCACTGGTGGATGCGAGTTTATGTAATAGCGATAGTTTCCATCCTTTGATGGGTGTGGGCTTGTTGTCCTATCCCTCCTGTACTTTAGTGACTTGAAAACTAACTAAACAGTTCCGCGAAGACTGAGTCTACGATACGGTGAAAGAAAGAATGACTTCGGCCGTATCCAGCCGCGCTTGTACGTCCATGCTGTCCCTAATATGCAGCGTGTTCTGTAGCAGTCAGTGGAGAAGAAATCGCTGTCCCTTCTTGTCGTCTTTTTCAGTTTTTCTATCCGCAAGGGTAACACGAGAATAGAAACATCTATTTCCTCCCAGTGGAAAAAAATACGGTAGCGCCCTCATAGTGCCAGACTCTTTTGAAACCGTCACCTTCACTTATTCACAACTCAAACTGTTATTCATTTCAGTAAAGAAAAAGGTTGACCATTTTTTGGAGTCACCTAGTAACCAATGCGATAGAGCTCGTTTTTTGTCGTTCGAAAGAGGACAGTGTAGTCTGCTCAACTTTGTGAAATTCGATGGATCGAGCAGTCGACCAATCAGGTGCATTTTAGCTCGAGTGTTGTTTGAACATGATATTTTAGACGGTTCTCTCTTCCGATTGAAACCGATGACAAGTCCATTCGATAGAAGAAAATTTTCTCTTTCCAAGGCCGTATTGTCGACCGTTACAGATACCTGTCATCCAACACATTTCAATTGTTACATCTCTCTCTTCTCTGCTCTCCTGACTGACCCTTTTTGCATCTTTTTTTATCTCGTTCTGCAGGACTTGATTGAAAAAAAGGTATCAGATCCCGACATCCCTCACACTAACATCACACCATGACCCATCCTATGACACGGAAGCCTGACCAGTGTATTCTTCTACACATGTTTAGATTCCAGCTGGCTCTTTTCTATCGTTTACTTATCGAAAATTGTAGTCATTGAAACTGCTAGTTCTCAGGTAGAACAGTTCCATCGTATTTCACATTCTAATCCCGAAGAAGTTGCACTCTAAGCGTTCTTAATCTGTGAAAAGAAGTGGCATTTCGTCTGAAAATACTATCTCTGACGAAGTATTGAACACGTTGCAGGGAAAGCATAGAAACCATCAAGTAAAATAATGTTTTTGATGATTTCAAATAATTATATTTGCTCACGTTTCTCTTACAAATGGCAAATCTACTGTATTTTCCTCATGTGCAAAGACAGGATAAATACCGTAACCCAGATTTGAGAATGATCAGCCAGAAGCATCAAGACTAGCGCCATCAACATGGATTTATTACTACAAAGAAACGGCTCCTGACAAAGTCTCGTTCATACAAGACAATTGAAATTCGTTCGAATAAGACATCGATTTTATTTTATTTCTACCATAGAATCAGATGAACACTTGTACTTTTGTGAAGAAAAGAACGTGCTTTCATCGTGACTACTATCCATTCCAAAATACAAGATCCGTGGGTATTTTTCGAATAACTTTTGATAGGAATGAGATAGAGACCTGCGATTTTCGCTGTTCAATAGCCAAGACTTGAGCAGAACTTTCCACAAACGGAAGCAACTTTTGAAAAAATTCCAGAGATCGGGTTTTCAGAGGATCTTTGGAAAACCAGCTCCGTTCTCAGAAAACTAACATACAATGTTAGTAATTTTTTTGCATGCGTAGATAGTCCGGACGTTACTCTACAAAA